GAAGTAATAATACTTTGACTCATAGCTATTACCGTCTACTGCTGCAAACAGTTTTTCATGGACATAATGGAGTCCGCTGTCTCTCTAAACAGGAAATACTTACACACAAAAATGTACGACACACCCACACACACACCCACACACACACCCACACACACACCCACACACACACACACACACACACACACACACACACACACACACACTACACACTACACAGGGCAAGTTGTTCCAGTTTGCTCAGTGTTATTAATTAACTGTCTAGGAAGTTAGTCATGAAGAGAAATGCGAGTGTTTTTGAAATCATTAACTAGTTTTAGGGATCATTAGATAGGTGCCAAGTATACTTTACTTATACACGCATAGAAAGTTGAACTCTCATCAAAGCTAATTTTGTCAGGCAGGTTTGAACTTGAATCTGTAGAAACAGAAGGAGGAAGAAATCAGCTAATCTATTGAAACTAGAAAAGTGAGATTTTTTTCTCAGTTCAACGGCTCTCTCCTTTATCTGTGAGCAGATCTGTACCAGCACATTCAACTGTAAATATTTCTGTCTTAAAGAAGCACGTCATACATATGTGATGGATTTTATCTCTGTTTGCAAACATGATAAAAAACAAAAACACAGTGTTTTTATAGCTAGGTAAAAGAAGCTTCTGCGTCTACAATATCTTTATGGTAAAACTGTTATTTTGGGAACAGCGCCTAGGAAATAATACTCATATCAGTAGGGCGCAACAGAAAAAGCCATCTTGTCATCGATGCTGCTCAGTGTAAATATCTTGCAGAAAGTCAGATAGAGAGTGACTGAATGAAAGAAATGAAAAGAGAGAAAGTGAGGTTACAGCAGTGTGGCAGATGGAAAGAGATAAAGACATGACATTTTCCACAATGACAGGCATCTGCTGACTACTAAGTATGTCTATCTCTCCCTGACTCTCTCCCTCTCCCTCTCTCATGGTCATTGTCAGGTGGAAATTTACAGCTCTGGTTCTGTCATTGTGGCCTCGATTGCACTGCTTAGACATTCTGACCAATCACAGTGTCACATTTAATAGTTTTAATGAGGAAGGGAGGGAGGAGGAAGAGGGGGTTGGGGTATGTTTTCTATTTCACCACACTATTAGACATTAACCTTTAAATGGACATTTTAAAGTTTGTTTGTTTTGGCTTTGATTAACTGCAGCTCTTCTTCAGAGCTGATACATGTATGAAAGTAACTCACCTTGTTGTTACAACACTGAGCAAACTGGGTCACACTGAATGACTTTGAAATGTCCTTGGTAAACTCTGAATCACATCTAAAATAGAATCGGCAATTGAAACCCAACCCAAATGTGGCGGCGTATTTTGACTCGTATTCAATATCTCTGCACCTCGCCCCTTCTTTAGTTCAGATCACAATAACATTTGACCAGAACTGGCGCAAAATAACCACCCTGACCAGTACGAACTTAAATGAGCCAAATACAAAAACTCAACCAAGTACATTTTTCTAATGTGATAGGAAGCAACGCCACAGTTTGTGTAACTACATCCTTTGAGTGGAATCAGTTTTTAGATGATCTGGTTTTACAGGTTATGTTTAACAGTCAGTGTTGGCACAGATAATGCGATAATCAAATGTGTAATATAATTAAATCCAACCTAATGATTATCATTACAGGCTGTATGTGCTTGCTTTAGCAACAAGTCTCACAGCAGCGAAGCCAAGAGTGTGGCTTTGTGGATAGGTAATGGTATTGTGAGGGCTTGTGTTGCCACTTGTACACTCAGACTTCCCGATGTAGACCAGAGTTAATTTAAAGAAGCCAAACTACAAGAATCAGCTCGAACTGATGGCCCTCCAGGCTCTTCTTTTTTTGTAATGTGTGGTTTATGGACAGGTTCTAAAGTCTTACAACATATTCAAACATTATTTGTTGAAGTATTTCACTGCAGCAAAGATGGTCTTTTCACAATTAGGGGCTGTCTGTACAGTAGAAAGATGCCAATACTTCAAATGGGCCTTTTTCACAGCAGACATTTTGACTCGTCATAGTAGGAAAAAAGGGCGGCCTAGCAGTGACTAGCATCATCGCCTCACAGCAAGAGGGCTCCTGGTTCGAACGTGGGGTGGGGGAGTCCTTCTGTGCAGAGTTTGCATGTTCTCCCTGTGTCAGCGTGGGTTTCCTCCAGGTACTCCAGCTTCTCCCACAGTCCAAAGACATGCAGGTTAATTGGTGATTCTGAATTGTCCGTTGGTGTGAATGTGAGTGTGAATGGTTGGTGACCTGTCCAGGGTGAACCCTGCCTCTGGCCCTATGTCAGCTGGGATAGGCTCCAGCCCCTGCAACCCCTAGAAGGATATGTGGTTACAGAAAATGAAAGAATGAATAGTAGGAAAAAGCACAGGTGAAACTGATAACATTAAAAATGGTTCAGTTCCATTAAGTGTCCCAGTAAGTTATTCCAGTAAGGACAATACCAGGGCCTCCCCTAAATGGAATGCAGCTCACATTAATGTTAAGGAACACACCTGTGCTCCTGGAATCCTGAAAATGAGAGACAAAATGGAGGGAACGAAGAGGAGAGAATGGAAAATAAAAAGAATCAGAGCCAGAGAAGAGATGAGAAAAAAGACAAAAGGAAGACAGGAGACAGAAGGAAGAGCGCTCTATATATACCTTTTTCAAGTTGTTTACACCTTTGTGTAAACATGGCTTAAAAAAATACTGATATAGCATTTTGGATTTGAACTGAAATGAGAGAGAGATCAGAGAGAGAATCGAGACATGTGGTTCCAGACGTCTGAATCTCTGCCCACGTATTTCTCAGGGACTGAAAACAGTTTCGTGTCGTCCTCATTGAAAATAGCCGAGCCAATCAGAGCCTGTCCGTTCCAATCCAGCCTGTTCCACAGAGAACTAGATTGCCACTCAGAGAGCACATACTTCTGCCAAAGCCACACGCCCTATCTCGCAGTGTAACGAAAATCAAAACAATGGGTGTATCCACCCTGTCATTGGGATCCGCTCCAGAATTCAACAGGCTCTTCCTTTGCCTATGCTACACCCTTTCACCAAAGCCTCATCCACACTGACACGAATATGTTGATTTGTTTTTTGTTAACGTAGACAGGGAAAGCAGAGTTTTGGGTTTGAGATGTCACAGTGGCTACGGTTACGTGATGGCTTCTCATTTGGAATGAAATAAATCTGAATGAAATCATTTGGAATTAAAGTTTTTCCAGGTAGTTTACATGGGAAATATTCATTCCGAATGAGGGTTTACATGGGAGATCAGTTCAATCGCCTGTATTCAGGTCTGCGCAAGGTTTGGGGCAGGGAAGGTTTCTGATTGGATAGGGGGCGGGGCGGATGTTATGTGTTTACGTTTACCGGAAGAAAACACTGTAGTCTTCGCTCCGGATAATAAGATGCTTGACGTCACCGTTCTTAGTGCGTTTTTCAGGCGTGTTTTGCTTATATTCTTGAAGCAGCAGTATGACAACAACCTTGTTCTGCTAATGCTTCATCTGTTGAGGAGGAGAAGGGAGGTAGAAGACCGTGCTGTGGCGAATGGAAACCGGTGAGTGCAACAAGTCCGACTGCTCTATCTCAGCCCGCTGCTATGCAGCCCGTTGCTATGCGAGCTATATACGTCATCGCGCCAGAAGGGCAAGGAAACGAGCATGCGCAGAAAGACCGGAATGAATTTAAAGAGGAATGAGTGTATACATGCACACAAAATTCTTTCATTCGGAATGACAAATGGAATAAACCACCCCCTTTCATCGGATTTAATTTTCAATCGGAATGACCGTTTACATGACCACTTTTAATCGGAATGGCCTTTCATTCCGATTAAAAGTGGAATTAAACTGTGCATGTAAACGTACTGATTGTGTGTCTATATCTTCTTTGTGAGGTGTGACAGATGTGACCCGTGTAATCAATCGCCGCTTTTTCCCCCCAGTAATCAATAGCTAGTTCCGAAAATGTTGAGGCAGAGGGTACTGTCTGTAGCTCTGGTTGAGGGTGAGAGGCTGTCAGCAGATAAACAGAGATCTGTGTGGGTACATGAGACCCTAAATGGAATGCAGCTCACATTAATGTTAAGGAACACACCTGTGCTTTTACTACTATGACATGTCAAAATGTCTGTTGTGAAAAAGGTGTATTGGTGCCACATGACCAGAGAAAACCAACGAAAAGGACTGTGGCATTCACTTTTGCTCAAGAGGTAGAAAACCTCCAACTAGCAGACTGCAGGCTCAGTAAAGCCTGAACGTCATTGTCGGTCTGTTTGTGTTGTCTGTTGGGTTTTTAAAGACGGCGGTTCATTGGCTAAGTTCGTTCATTCAAGGCACAGTTACGTCAGTCAGGGTTCGTCTTGCGCTGGGAGAGTACCCCTGAAAAAGGAGCACCAAGTTAGCTTTGGTTCTTGGTTTCTAATCCTTGAATGCACAATGGAGGTAAACAGTAGTACCAAAATCAAAAACAAGCAGGGAACAACTATTATTGAGACCACTGCAAGCTCATTGACGATTTCTCAATTGACCTCTCTGTTGTTGCCTTCTTCATCCTCTCTTTCCAACCTGTAGAGTATGACAGGCACACTGATGTCATCACAGTCAGTGTCTCAGGTCAAGAAAAAACCTGCTATTTTTTAGTCCTAGCTGGGAACCAACTTTATGGTCTTAAAATTAGGTGTGGGAACTGATTCCATGTGGGTGGAAAAGGAGTAAAAACAGCCATCTAAGAACTACGGTGGTTCTCAGTTCTTGTGCTTCAGACTCAACAAAAGGGGGTTTCTTAGAACTCTGAAAAAGTTCCTCCAGCCTGAAAACACCTAAAGACTGAGAAACTACCACCAGTCACCAGTGTCAAGTGTTTTTTGTTAATCTGAAAGTCTGCTGAGCTTATAATGTGTTGGCGGCAGTATTTAAAAGCTGCTGTCAGTGGATTCATTTCAGATCAGTTCTCACTGGATTCTTCCTCTGTCTCCTGTTTCTGCAGAATGGCTCAAAAAGAGAAACTTCAGTGCCTGAAGGATTTCCATAAGGACACTCTGAAGCCATCTCCTGGTAAAAGCCCTGGCACCCGGCCTGAAGACGAGGCAGAGGGCAAACACCCCCAGCGGGAGAAGTGGGCCAGCAAGCTGGACTTTGTTCTGTCTGTGGCTGGCGGCTTTGTTGGTTTAGGGAACGTCTGGCGTTTCCCGTACCTCTGCTATAAGAATGGTGGAGGTAAGGCATTATTTATTTACACAGAGGGAGGGTTTGCTTATCAACCCAGCTCTGGTTTTCCACATTGTTCTGATTTGATTTCATGCTGATTATGTTTTCACTCCACCCAGGTGCTTTTCTCATCCCCTACTTCATTTTCCTGTTTGGCGGAGGTCTGCCGGTCTTCTTCCTGGAGGTCGCCCTGGGTCAGTTCACCTCCGAGGGTGGCATCACCTGCTGGGAGAAGCTGTGCCCCATCTTTACTGGTATGTGGCTCCTCATCAGTCAATTGAATTGATTATTGGGGGGCAGTCCCAGCATGAATGGGTGTAGAGAGCAGCAGAAAGAGTGGGTGTGTCTCTCTCAGACACTGCTCCTGGACATGCATCACTAAACACCATTAAGAGTCTAGTCTTTTAAATTGTGGTTGACAAGGGAACAGAACCCCTTGAAGCTGGAATGGACATGATATAAGTAAATTAAAGGGGTTAAACCAATGAATCTGATCGTCAAAAGACCAAAGTTAAGCCCTAAATGTTTGCATATATTTGCACAGGGGTCCGTTACGTCACAATCCGCCCTCGAGAGTCGATGTAAAAATCAGGCTTCTGGTGCAGTTTACAGTCTGCACCTCACTGCAAATACAGCAAACACAGTTTAATATCTGTTTGGACCAGCTGTGTTCTGTTGTTGTCATAGCTCTGACTATAGCCCCGCCCACTGCCCCGCCCCCGTGACATCTCGCCGATGACTGATGAGCACGCAGCACGGTGTCAGCAGCCTCTTTCCTGCCCAACTACTGGGCTTAAATTTTTCCAGACCTCTGTTGTTTTTCACAGAGGAATGGCTGTGCAACATAAGGCTGAGTCACACCAGGCTCTCCTCCAATCAGACTGCTGAGACTTTACCCTGCAACCGTTACCAGGCAACCAGGCCTGCGCTGGTACACCAACACACTGAGGCCTCTATTCTGCTTCTGCCTCCTCTAGCTCTCACCTCCTCTCCTGTGAAAACCTCCTCTCTTCCAGGAAAACACATTTACAGTTCTTAGATGGATTCCCTGATTTTTACTTCTGCCGTCGGAGTTAGACATGTTTTTTTTTTTGTTTGCCCAGCTGTACTCTTCAGTCTCACCTTCTTCCTTTCCTCCATCATACATCCTTCCTAGTCTTCCCTCCTAAGCTTCTCCACTACTCTTTCTCCATGTCCCTCATCAGTTCTTCTCACCTCCTCCTCTCCTCCTGTTCACTATCAGCTGATTAAGGTTAATTTATTCATCACTGTTTATTAATTTCTCCTTCTTAATATTCATACTGACGATTCATCTCGAGCAAACACGCATAAACCTCTTTATATTCTCCCTCGTTCATTAAATATACTCCAGTAATCCTATCGTCGTAACCGTTTGTTATTTCATTATCTTCATTTAATTATTTACCTCTGCTGCCGTTCTCACTTTCACATATACACACGGTCTTTCTTCCTTTCAGACACATTATCCCTCCGCCGTCTCGCACACACAAACACACGCCCGAGCCGGTGTACAGAGTGTCCCAAATCACACGTTGCTACGGCAACAGCACGGCAACACATCAGAGAGATGGCGAGAGAGAGAGAGAGAGAGAGAGAGAGAGAAAAGAAGCAGAGCAGCGAGATCTGAGGAGCCATGAGATGGATTGATAAAGACGAGAGAAAGGGGGAGAGAAATAAAGACGGAGAGAGAAAGAGGGGGTGAATGGAAAAGAGACAGTCAGAGGAAAAAGAGAAAGCGGAAAGTGATAGAAAGGGAGGACAAACAGAGGGAAAAGAGTGAGACGGAAGAGGAGGGGAAAATGAGAGACAAAATGGAGGGAACGAGGAGGAGAGAATGGAAAATAAAAAGAATCAGAGCCAGAGAAGAGATGAGGAAAAAAGACAAAAGGAAGACAGGAGACAGAAGGAAGAGCGCTCTATATATACCTTTTTCAAGTTGTTTACACCTTTGTGTAAACATGGCTTAAAAAAATACTGATATAGCATTTTGGATTTGAACTGAAATGAGAGAGAGATCAGAGAGAGAATCGAGACATGTGGTTCCAGACGTCTGAATCTCTGCCCACGTATTTCTCAGGGACTGAAAACAGTTTCGTGTCGTCCTCATTGAAAATAGCCGAGCCAATCAGAGCCTGTCCGTTCCAATCCAGCCTGTTCCACAGAGAACTAGATTGCCACTCAGAGAGCACATACTTCTGCCAAAGCCACACGCCCTATCTCGCAGTGTAACGAAAATCAAAACAATGGGTGTATCCACCCTGTCATTGGGATCCGCTCCAGAATTCAACAGGCTCTTCCTTTGCCTATGCTACACCCTTTCACCAAAGCCTCATCCACACTGACACGAATATGTTGATTTGTTTTTTGTTAACGTAGACAGGGAAAGCAAAGTTTTGGGTTTGAGATGTCACAGTGGCTACGGTTACATGATGGCTTCTCATTTGGAATGAAATAAATCTGAATGAAATCATTTGGAATTAAAGTTTTTCCAGGTAGTTTACATGGGAAATATTCATTCCGAATGAGGGTTTACATGGGAGATCAGTTCAATCGCCTGTATTCAGGTCTGCGCAAGGTTTGGGGCAGGGAAGGTTTCTGATTGGATAGGGGGCGGGGCGGATGTTATGTGTTTACGTTTACCGGAAGAAAACACTGTAGTCTTCGCTCCGGATAATAAGATGCTTGACGACGCCGTTCTTAGTGCGTTTTTCAGGCGTGTTTTGCTTATATTCTTGAAGCAGCAGTACGACAACAACCTTGTTCTGCTAATGCTTCATCTGTTGAGGAGGAGAAGGGAGGTAGAAGGTCGAAGAAGGGAGATAGAAGACCATGCTGTGGCGAATGGAAACCGGTGAGTGCAACAAGTCCGACTGCTCTATCTCAGCCCGCTGCTATGCAGCCCGTTGCTATGTGCGCTATATACGTCATCGCGCCAGAAGGGCAAGGAAACGAGCATGCGCAGAAAGACCGGAATGAATTTAAAGAGGAATGAGTGTATACATGCACACAAAATTCTTTCATTCGGAATGACAAATGGAATAAACCACCCCCTTTAATCGGATTTAATTTTCAATCGGAATGACCGTTTACATGACCACTTTTAATCGGAATGGCCTTTCATTCCGATTAAAAGTGGAATTAAACTGCGCATGTAAACGTACTGATTGTGTGTCTATATCTTCTTTGTGAGGTGTGACAGATGTGACCCGTGTAATCAATCGCCGCTTTTTCCCCCCAGTAATCAATAGCTAGTTCCGAAAATGTTGAGGCAGAGGGTACTGTCTGTAGCTCTGGTTGAGGGTGAGAGGCTGTCAGCAGATAAACAGAGATCTGTGTGGGTACATGAGACCCTAAAAAAGAGGGTGTATCATGGGGAGTCCTACCAGTTGGTCCAGGAGCTTCTCCTCCATGATGGCTGTTTCCAGGCATATTTTAGTTTGACTCCGTCTATCATTGGGCCGTATAGCTCTGGGTATCCAGCAACCACTACCACCACTTTCTCATCCATTGTTTACCAACTGTGAACTTGTTGTCATGACTACCACAGAAGGTCCGCCTCTCAAATCATCCAGCTGGACAGTGGGGAAAAAAGATGACACAAAAGAGATGATGTGAGGTGTTTTGCTCAGTACTTTCCAAACATGCATTTTCCCCAAAACATTACAACCTAAAACACTTCTGTATACGAGCAGAGCGCCCTGAGCGTCAATGTGCTCGCTGTGTTCCGCGGTAGGATAGGAGAAGAACAGTTTTCTATACGAATTCAAGGCAGGGCTTCCCAGACAATTATTTATTTGTGGCGGCCTGCCGTGATTAAAGCATCTGCACTTTTGGAGCTCAGAGCTACTCTGGGCACAGACGGAGCAGCAGAACGTCAGGCGCAGTGAAAGTGAAACTTAACCATTAGCACTGGGTCTAACAGTTTGCTTTCATTCGCAAACTGCTCCTCTTTCCATCAGTCTGATCTGATCAGCTCTGATCGGATTAACTGATCAGTTACCCACCTCGTGATTCAAAACTGCAAACTGCAGCTGAGGGAAGGAGAAGGCTTCCACCTGTGCTGCGTTCACGGACCCACAAAAACCTATATTGGACACTCAGGGTAAAAAAACAAAGATTGACATTGTCTGCTCGTTATAAAGTTTCTTTTCAAACCCAGTGTAACACTGACATGTACTTTCAGAGGATGATGATGATGATGATGATGCAGATCGGCTGTATAAATCATATTTTCTTAAAAGGCTCAACAGCACCAAGTTACATCACCGTGACACTAAACAGACTAATATTACAGACAGTTGATTCTTCAGTCTCAGTCCTCCAAAGAGACTTTGTTCTTCCACATGATCCTTCCAGGAATCATCGCGCGTGTGAGGTGAAACTGTACATTTGAACAGTGGTCATGTGCATTTAAAGGATCAATTGTTGGTGTAAACACAGCGAGCGAGGTCAGCCGAGGTCAACAGATGAGGAATGAGATCATGGAGGAGGATGCGTCTGTTTGTTTGATCAGCACTGTTCCATGTGATCCGAGCAAGGCTGTGTGTGTGCGTGTGTGTGTGTGTGTGTTTAGTGTGTAGATGCTTTGCAGCTGCTAATTAGCTGAGTGATTAAAAGGACATGATGCGATGGTGAAATAGTTCACACTTTGACACACACACCAAGACACACTCTGAAATTAATGCAGACAGTTTACAAAGACCGAAGCACATACACCCTCTCTCTCACACACACACATACAAACACACACACACACACACACACACACACACACACAGATGGCCAATGACGTTAAAGGACATTAATTTGGATGAGTGGCCTCGGTTGGCGGTGTGTGCTGACTGATAGTACACACACACACACATGCACACGCACATACAGATCAGCCTTGATCCAATGTTTACCGTCCGCTCTGTCTCAAGGCCTCTATCGACGCAATCAAAGTCAGCTCATCGGTCTCTTACCAGTCAAACAAAATTGAAGCTTCACTGAAGGTTAATTTAACTAAAACATGATTGCAGTAGACCTTGAGGAGGCTAAATTTACTCTGCGTATTTATGAACACAAGCTGCTGTGAAAAACATACCAGCCTGGATCCTCCTGACATTTGAGTTTCTCTTCTTCTTTTCATTTTCTTCAGCCTCTTTTTATAGCTGCACCGTTGCATCAGATTTACATCATTTCATACACGTATTCATGTAATTTAGCCTCGGGCATTTTATATAATATAGTTCTGTGGGTTTGAACAAACGCAGCTCTGACGGTGCTGAATAAGAGAAGGACCAAAAGGCGAAGAGAAAAAAAATAAATTAAAGTCTAGTCTTGTTTGTTTCTTGAGGGAGATGTAGAAATGACTGTGTGGTGAAGATACAAAATCAACACACATCGTTATCCACCAAACATCTGTGTCGGTTCTCATTTCATGAAACCTGACACTTGTTTCATCATGAACTCACCGCTGCAACATCCTGTTTTTTGGCCAGTCAAAATGAAGCTCTAAACCCCCCCTTGCTGCACAAAATGCACGACACTACAGTGACTAATATGGTGTCAACTGTGGGTCTTTGAAGGGAACTGATAATGTCATTCATCATTCATTCACATGGGAACAAAGACAGTCTTGTGTTGGGCCCTAATCGAGCCCCAGATGATGTTTTTTAATATAAAAATTTTACATATTATTTTGGAGGTTTTACTTTAGGCTGTCATTTACATTAGGCTGTTATTTAGTCTTTATAATTTTATTTATTTGTTTTTAAACAAAAGTTGCACATATTTTGAAGGGTTTTTTTAGGCCATTTTATTTTATTTGAAAAACAATTAAATATAAAAATTTTAAGTAGTTTAAACATTTTAGTCAAGGCCTTTATTGACTTTTATAAAAATGTTTTAGTTAGTATAAAAATTATTCATATTTTATTTTTTTTTTAGTTAAGGCCATTGTTTACTCTTAAAAATATTTTTTTTTTTTAAAAATAAACATATTTCCCACATTTCTGAATTTTTTCTGTTTGTTTTTATTTTTTTTAGTGAAGGGTATTATTTATTTTTATTGAAATGTTTTAACATAAAGACTATATTTATTTTATACAAGTTTTTTATTCTAAATAAAAAAAACATGTACATATGTTTTTCTTTTAGATAAGGCCATTTCTTACTTTTATATAAAAAAAATCTTTTAATAAAAATTATGCTTTTGTGTTATATTTTTTGTCTTTAAAGCATTAAAGCGTTTGCTTTTATATAATTTTTGTTATTATATAAATTGTTCAAGATTTTATTTCAAATGAAACAAAAATTACATATTTTTTTTCTTTTAGCTAAGGCCATTTCATCCTTTTTATAAAAATGTTTTTTAAAATAAAAATTATTCATCTTTAAAAAAATGTTTTAGTTAAGACCATTATTTACTTTAATATATTTTTTATTATATACGTTTTTCATGTATTAAAGTTTTTTAGTAATGCCATTCTTTACTTTTATAAAAAAAAAAAATAAGATATAGATATTTCATTTTTTTAAATATAAGGTTCTTCTTAACGTTATTTAAAAAAAAAATACATGTTAATATAAAATTGATCATATTTCCGTTAAGGCCATTATTTACTTTTTAAAAAATGTATCTGTTTCTTTCTCTGCTGCTGCTAGAAAATTACCTGCCACCTTAAAGTCAGTTCACATTGTGACCTTAAGTGCTCTTGGCCGCTTCACTGGACTGTTGACGTCTTCCTGTATCCTCACCGTGACCTCTCTCCTGTCTGCAGGTATTGGTTACGCCTCCATTGTGATTGTGTCCCTGCTGAATATCTACTACATCGTCATCCTGGCCTGGGGTCTCTATTACCTGTTCCAGGTAGGTTTGGGGAAGAAGAACTCTGATGGATGATTATAAATGACTTACACTGTAGAGATACTCCAGGACTTTTATCAGGGCAGCGTGACTTCTGATTTTTTACCATCTATGAGTATTAGGATCAGCAAAATGAAAAGTTTATAAGAAATATAGATGAGAATTTCCTGCCAAAGTTAAAAACTAGAAAGATAAAGTAGCGCTGGCATCGCTTAGACAACCAGATCATTCCTGCTTTTTTAAGGGATGTATTGCTCTTTGCAAGCTCTCCTCTGTTTGATAAAACAAATCAAATCCAAAAACATCAGTTTCACATTTACTTTGAGCACAAATATACTTACCCAGTGTTTCAAAGAGTGTATCAGGTCAAAGATGGCTGATCCAGTGTCTCAAATGCCCAGCGCGCAGCAGAACAAAGATCAGTGGTGTCATCATCTCTCTTTCATGAAAAATTGAGTGTTTGTGTGTGTCAACGTGATATATGTGTAGGTGTGCATACAAGATTCAAATCAGTAAGTTCACAGCTTATCGTACCTCGCTCAAAAAAGTGTATGAGTGTGTCAGGTTAAAAAAAATCTCTGTTGTTCTTCACTCTGCCTACAGAGAGGAGAATAGCAGTCGGTGTTGTTATAAGTCATGATGCTGCATTTGTGAGAGAAGAGAAGTGTAAAGAACAGAGCAAATCAGGCGTCATCAAAATGTGATAGATAGCTTGAAGATGTAAAGTAAAAATAAAAGAGGAGAAAAAATGGAGGTTTGAGTTTTCAACAAGCTTTTAATGTGTTACAAGTTAAAGGGACAGTTCACCCCCGAGAAGGCAGGAATCCCTACGGCCGATATCTCCAACACTCTGCAACTCACACCAAAACAGTCTAGACTGATAAACAGCTCTACAAGTAAGAGGAAAAATATGTATTTTTGATTTTGGGGTGAACTGTCCCTTTAACTAAACTAGACTAAACCCATGTTATTTTTAAACTTCAGTACAGTATGATTTTTTTTTCTTGCAAAATCAATGCAAAGAACAGAGTTCATGTTAATGTCTCAGGCTAAGAACAGGTCTGTCATCTGTTGTACAGCCTCATTGATGTCTTTGAATCTGGTTTAAGGGCGACACATTAACCTAAGAAGCCCTTTGATGGCGGCCCTTAACCCAAAGCAGGCGCCTTTTGAGCCGTTACAGACTACGATGAGGGTGGCTGATATTTATGGTACAAAATTTTGGAAGGTGTCAGACTCATCTGCTGATCCTGGTACTGAAAGAAGTAGTATTATTTTCTGTGTCAGGACACCTCAGAGTGTATTATTAGGCAGTGACCATCTACCATATACATGAAAAGAGAATCTGTCCTCGCCCGTTCACCCAGTAAATAAATAAATGCTTAAATCAGTGATTTTAAGCAGCTTATGTTGAGTGGAACTACGAGGACACCAATTAGGAAGGAGTATGTCCCAAGTTGTCCTCTAATGCAGCTCCTGATTTTTAATTCCAGTGTTTTCAGCCGGAGCTGCCCTGGGCCAAGTGCAATCAGCCCTGGAACACCCATCGCTGCATCGAGGACACCTACCGCAAGAACAAATCCCTCTGGCTGGCCGCCAACGCCTCCAACTTCACCTCCCCCGTCACCGAGTTTTGGGAGTGAGTTACATAAGAGCACACGTACATGCTCGCTTGCATAAGTGCACAAAATTTTCTCGTCCTGTCATTTAAAAAGTTAAATAAATGTCTGACATTTAATACGAAAAAGAACTTTAATACAGGGACATACACAGAAACATTTGGACAGTACTAAAGACGACAGGGTATTTAGGTTTTATATTCTCAAACATTTATCAGGCAGTGTGTTTGGCACCACACAATCAAATTAGAAATGATAAAATCATCTCTTGTGGACATTACAGTTATTTTGCTGTAAAGTTATTGGTTTGTTTTCTTAGTAACTCATATTAAACATACACTAAAGTTTCCCTGTAGTATTCCCTTTGTTAATATCAGTTCTTTGAATTCCCTCATATGACCGGACCTAAATAAATAGATTGCAGTAGCTCTCAAATTAAAATTGTAACTAGGCTTAAAACTTAAGCTGATTGTTATAAGCTTTTTGCCGTCATGTCATGAAGTGCTGTGACTGCGTTGCACAGATGGACCCACAAGCTGATGGAGCTTTCCTTTTTATGTTGCAGACATAATGTGTTGGGTATCAGCAATGGTATCGACGACATCGGTCCTATTAAATGGGACCTGGCTCTGTGTTTACTGCTCGTCTGGGTCATCTGCTTCTTCTGCATCTGGAAGGGAGTCAAGTCCACCGGCAAGGTAAATACATGTTTCTGTACTGTCCTGTATTTATTGTTTTTTTTAGCTGGATGTGTTTTGCTCTGTTAATCCAGACGAACAAAGTTTTCTTCCTCTTGAACTTGTTGAACTCAAAATCAAGAACTGACTTGTCCACTTGTATCATTGCTGTATCATAATGACTGCCGGAAACCATGACAGGATGATGCTCATATGACTTTGTCACTGCATTCTGAGGAAGACAACAATAGGGGCTATGTTCCAACTCAGTGCAAAAAAATGCAAGTTTTTCCGAAGGCATGGGCGGGCTGAGGGAGCAGGAAATGCCTGTGCATTTTTTCAGTCTAAATAAACAAATATGGAAGTCTCTTTCCCGAGCTCATACATCAAAATTATTTAAAGACAAGACAAAAAAAATCTGGGATCACTGGGGTAATTGGCGGCATGGCTGAGCAGCATTCCTGGGGGCCAGGTTGCACTTTGCTGTCGTGGTTTCTCCCAGAGATGCTGTGCTGTACAGCAGCAGTTCCTCAAACAAATATATCACCTGAGACATAAGCAAGTTAAACAGTAAACAGCAGGAGAATAACACACTTGTGGGTGCTCTCATCTCGACAAACTATAATGGCATTCTGTTTTTAAAATCCCAAACGTGCGCTGCCATTTCTTGTCACTTATTGCCTGATGTTCACACTAATGCTAATGTATCTGTAACTGGATGTTGACATGTATCTACATTTGGAAGAAATAGGCTGATAATTTGAGGATTACAGTCCTGTACTACAGTACACATATTTCTCTGTTTAATGAACAGAACAAGAAAAAAATCCATGGAGGGGAATTCTGCAGCGGCTTCTTTTTTGTACTGTATTGGTATATGGATGTAAACTTGGATGAATACATAAAGGGAACATGTCAGACTATGTTCTATTGCTGTTAGAGCAACAGCAACAACAACAACAACAACAACCCGCCTGAGACCAGACGCAGCTCAATCAATCCAAGACTGCTCTTTTTATAGCCTCAACACTATTTATTGATTGGTCTGGCCTGATTTATGCTCTCTGGTTGCTCCAAGTTGTAACTCTGGTAATAAAGTCACTCCTACAAGGCCAAGTGTGGTCGCTGCTTTCCAAATAGCAGATAGTGATACACTGCTATTGATTTAGAGGACAGCCTGTGGTCTGTTGTTGTCCTAATCCAAAAAATAACTTCCAGAGTTCACAAATTCATCAAATGTAATTCCCTGTTATGAAAGCTAGTAGACCAAATGACAAATTAGCATCCATGTCATGGCCAAGGCAAATCATTTTTTATACTCAAAGCTTCAGAAACAAACTAACCATAGTTTTCCCCTGTAGAAAAATACAAACTGGAGTTTTTCCATAATGTTGCTTCTCTGTGTTTTGATCTCCCTCAGGTGGTCTACATCACAGCCACGTTCCCGTTTGTCATGCTCATCGTGCTGTTGATTCGTGGTGTGACGCTGCCAGGTGCTTCTGCTGGCATCAAGTTCTACCTGTACCCTGACCTCGCTCGTCTGAAGGACCCAGAGGTAGGTGCCCCTGTGCTGCCTGAGAGAAAACCCTGTGTGAGCCACTCTTTGTTGAACAAGTCCAACATCTGCACATAGATGGCCCTGTTTAAACAATCTATAGCTCATGGTCTAAAATGCCTGATGAAAGTGCATTTAGGGTGTGTCCAACTACACTTTGGTTAATTCAACGGTGAATAATCTAGGTGCAAACTAAGGCGCAAGAAGCAAAGGGGTGGTATTTTGTCCCTCAATTAATCATAGGTGTTTTTGCCTCTCCGAATCCCTTTAAAAGCCAGGTGAACCTGCACCTGTAGTCCTAAACTTGACAGAGGAAACAGAACTAAACTTTAGCTCCTGAAATTACTGAGTAGTGCTGCTCCTTGTGCGTAAATCCACACAGTCTCTCTTAATGGTGAATCAGACAGCAGCTCTGCTCTGATCTCTGCTATGTTCACATTTTAGAGAATGTCAGTAATATCTTCCTCATTAATGATGTATTATTTCACTCACCTGCAACCCATCCGTGCGTCCTTGTGTGAGTGTACGGGCATTGTTAATGTGTCTAAGTGACGCATCTTACTGTCTGAATAATGCGTCCTTTAAGTTAGCGGGAAAATACTCAATGGTCAATGGCGCAGTCGCTTTATGCTGCATCAAGATAGCAATATGTCAACAATGTGTCTGAACAGACCTCATTATAAGACCTACACGGCCAAGCTTCATAGATGGGCGCAAGTAGATTTGCACCTTGCACAAAGTGGGCTCTGGTTGTGAAAACGACAACTCTCGCGGTCTAAATCTAGCATTGATGGTTGCGCTGCGCCGCTTTGCGCCAACAGAATTAGTGACTTTCTACAGACCATGACTTCCCAAGTCCATATTAGTGTTACCCATGACCTCACCCCCCCCCCCCCCCCCCCCCCCCCCCCCCCCCCCCAAGCTTCTCTATGCAGTACTCATGCCACTGTGCTTCCCCTCATCAGCAGGCCTCAGCCTTTCTGTCCCCACTTTCTCCCCCTACCTGACAGGTATGGATTGACGCCGGCACCCAGATCTTCTTCTCCTATGCCATCTGTTTGGGCGCCATGACGTCCTTGGGGAGCTACAACAAGTACAAATACAACTGCTACAGGTGAGGCATTAGTTTTCAGTGGGGGGGGGTTAGCGGTAGGGGCAGAGGGGAGTGAAGGGATCCTTGTGTGTTCATTAACAAATCCTCCTCATGACATATGTGTGACATAGGGACTGTTTGCTGCTGGGAGCCCTCAACAGTGGTACCAGTTTTGTGTCTGGCTTCGCAATATTTTCCGTCCTGGGCTTCATGGCACAAGAGCAAGGGGTGGACATTGCTGATGTGGCAGAGTCAGGTACGAGGGTTCTGTAAAGGCGGCAGTGATGGTGGGCGCTGCTTCCTGGTTAACAAATTAAAATAACAGTAATTACAAAGAAAAACAGCAACGAATCCCAAAAGAGAATTCGCCAACATGTTTATTTCGAATTGAATGGCAACTTGGTATTAAATGGATTCCTTGATTAATTACAAATGACGGCATCGGAATATGGAAGTTTCCGCAATCAAACACTACTTGACAAAAGCAGAATGTGAGAAAATATGATCATATTTGATCGGCTTGGTAGCGCATCAGTCGAGTAGAGCAAGTTGGATGGATTAGGACAAAGACAGAGATGTTGGAAATTCAGTTTGTGAAGAGAGAGACTTAGAGACATTGAGGGACATAATTTAGACATAGAACTAGCTGTGCGATGATATGCAGTGCATCTTGTGCCAGTTTGCTAGCTTAAACATACTGAGTTTTGGTCCTGACGGGATCCTTTATTGTCTACATGAGACAAATGGACGTCACCATTGCTGTGGTTCCTATTATTTATCCTGTGTTTAGCCAGAAAGGTTTCTTCTTCCAGGGAGTCCTTGAGTGACACATTGGCATTTTTAGTTGTTTCTACAAGTCTTTTTTTCTCTAGAACTGGCAACTTCATCTTTTTTTAATTTATTTTAAGGCCCACAGCCATGAAATTACTAACTAACTAAATAATTAAAGTCCATGGTAAACATTGATTGCTGAACATATCAGGCAAATTAAGAAAAGACTGTATCGCAGTTTTAAAATTGGGGATGCACCGATGAAATTCACCAGGAAATTCTGGGTCTGGTACCCAGAATACCAATGTTATTTATTTATATTTTTTTTTTTTTTGTTTATTTCGATTCTGTTGTTTTTTTTTATTCACTCTTTGTCATGTATATATCATGACTACCTCTTCAATGTCTGTTTTAAAACATCAACAAATTTCCCCTTCAAGCAGCTGTATTTATTAAAGTTTTTCGTCAAAACCTAAAATTAACGTAAGTAATAATTTACCCTCACCAGAGTCATTTTTCCTTAATAGAGCTTGAACGCCTCGCAACGGAACTCAATAGTTGTCTAAAATCATTCACTCATTCACTCATTCACTTCTACTAGGGAGTTCTATGTAGAGGATTATATAGTGAATAGTGAATGATATTGAACACAGCCAATGCAACCTCCATTAGCTGTTATCCGGCTGCTAGCATCTATCAGCTAACGTGAACTAGCTCTCCTGCACAAATTTGCTGATCATAATGTAGCATTGGGGCATGGTCACATATGTGCGAATGCAGGAGAGTGACTATCACCTGCCGATCAGATATCCTTTTTGAATGTGGGCAGTTCCTAACGTGACGGACATGGAAAGATAGTTTGCTAGTTAATGTGAGCTAGCTTGCAAACAAATATCGTACATTTTCTATTGTCTTCCGTTCCATGCCTGTCTACCTAGCCAGGCAGCATCTCGCTCATGTGTGCATCTCGTTTGCCGATAGGTAGATGGCAGTCAACAAGACGAATATCTGCCGATACAGACGTTCGGCTGATAGATCGGTGCATCCCTATTTTGAAATGCGTTTTTACGATCACATGTTTTGGAGATGTTTTGGAAAAACTCTCAAGCGACCATAAGTCTCAACATGAACTCAAACTATACCTCTTTCAGTATAAAGTGTTACCTGATGATAAGTTACAATTACTCCATGAGGCTGCAAATACAACTCTTGTTTTTGTGAGGACACGTTAGCTCAGTTGAAGCTGGAGGTCATGGCTGGTTTTCTGACAGAATCACACAAGGATTCCATTAATGCTTGTTTTTAAATCCCAAAGCAGATACCAGTTACACTCAGAGAAAGGTGTTAACACACCGACCAACAACTGAAAGCTGTTTTTCTAGACGGGGCTTGTTTGAAAAAAGTTTGAATCTGCTCTTCTCTGGATTTTACATGCTTCTGTTTTATGTGTAAGACATTAGGCATCTTGTTTGATAGACACAAACTTGAAACCTGTCATTTTTGTTGATTCCAGAACAGTGATGTTGTTAAAGTCAAACACTTTTGTAGAACCAAGGTTTCATCTTTTGCCCCAAGATCATCCACTTTGACAAAAGCAAAATGTAGCTTAGTGTAGTCAATGCTGCCAGCCCAGTCGATACAAATATTGGACAATTCTGTTGCCTCCGATTTACATCCAGTGCCAAACTAAATTTTGCAGAATTATCCAATATCAGTGTTGTGTTTGGCGAGTGGGTTGATGCTCCGCTGGTTGCTAAGAATTGAAGTGTGTATCTGAGAAATTAGAAAGATTAACATTGAACTTAACTGCTAATGAAGAAGTTTTTCCAGCCTGGAAAATTGTGTCCATGTGCTGTGAGCCTAAGAGTAGATGAGTTTATTAGTTTATCTGTAAGGGACAAGTACAGAGAAACATTGACAGTAGCAGTGTTCAATGTCCTGTACACATGTTTACAGCTAAAGTTTGGGAACATCACAAGTAAGTCTGCCTTAACTGCAGCTGCTTGATTCTGATGTACAGATGAATGATTGTTATCAGCATGAGCAGATATGCTGACTGAATACACAGAGAATACAGTGTTGTTTTCACAGAGCAAAATAAGCACACATGCTACAGCATGTTGACCTGAGAACTTCAGTCAAGTAATGACTTACCACAGCGTTTAATTTGGATCCTGTTTCATGGGTTACTTGATCAACGTTCTGCTAGCATTTCCCCTCTCAGAGAATGGAAGATGATACTCTTTCGAGTCAACGCGGTGTTTGGTTGGATGCCTTGTCATAATTTGCAACAAAAAACTGAACATACTTATGTATCTTGCTATCAGCAATGCAGTGCTGTTTTGCTGTTATGGCTGCTTCCTTGTTTTCTTAACTTCTGTTTTTACAGTTCCCAACGCAGCATCAACGACAAATTAAGGGGAAAAAAAGCCTTTGCTTTTTATTTGACATCCCTGTTTGCATCTGCTGCTGTTTTGCTGCAACCATTTTGCATTCCTCATAGAGCGGATCATGCTTAATTCAGTCGGGGATGCAAAATGGTGTCGACATACTTCAAAACTAAATTATTTGAGAAAACAAGATACACTTGATTTACCTTTCCGGGCAACTGAAAGACAAGCAGCTGCTAGAAAAGGTAAATCATGCATAAGTAGGTTAAATATTTCATATACTTGCTGCAATATTTACAGTCTTTCTGGTAACTTAAAGGGATAGTTCAGAGCTTTTGAAGTAGGGTTGTATGAGGTACTTAACCATAGTCAGTGTGTTACATACAGTAGATGTCAGTCGGCACACCTCAAGTTTGGAGAAGCAAGCAGGAGTACCACCATGGAAACTAAGCTATGTACTGCTGTGGAGGGGTCTGCAAAAAAAATATTTTAGCCACCTAAAAAAAAAAGCAACATCAGCTTGAATATACACTATATTTTGAATAATTTCACCACATCAATTTGCCATCAGAGAGGGATTTCCAACAGGGAACTTCAGTCGTTCTATCGCTCTCTTCAAAGCCAGACTCCATTGAGAAAAACAGTGATTTAAGAAAGCTGAAAACAGAAGCTTCTGGTCTACCGCTGCCTGGATCAGGTTGTTTGTTTGTGTTATTGTGTGGCTTTGGTGTTTTAAAGGGTTAGTTTGTAATCATCAAAGTCAAACAATAACACAATCAAACTAATTGTTCGAGGCAGCGTTGACCAGCAGCTCCTGTGTTCACTGAGCTTAAATTACTGTTTTTCTCAATGGAGTCTGGTGCCTTTGACGAAAGCATAGATAGGGGACTAGAGCCGTTAACAGGGCTGACTGCAGCAAGATGAAGCACTGAAAATACTTTCAATATAGCATTCACTTAAACTGATGATTGTTTTTAGGTTGCTAAAATATGTTTTGCTGCTGCCCCGTCCGCAGCAGTACATTGCTTAGCTTCCGTGCTGGCATACCTGTCTGATTCTCCAAACTGGGGGTGTGCCAACCGCCATCTACTGAAGGTAATACTCTGACTTTGGATCGGCACCTTATACAACCCCACTTCAAAAGATCCAAACTGTCTCTTTGACTCCATACAACACATACACTAGTTAGCATTTATTACATACTGCACACACATGCTTTACGATTTCTCTTATTACTTATTTCCGCAGAGATGCAGTTACACAATACTCAGAATAATTTAAGTTGCATATTATTCTACATGTTGTTTATTATTGTTCTGTTGTCCTTAATATTATAAGAAAGTTGACCTTGTCATGATATGTGATTGTAAATGCTGTGAAATGATGTCATGTGTTCATTGTATACAGTAAGTGTCATAATAAATGTTCACAAAGAAGTAATCACCAGGTAAGTAAAGGTGTGTATTAGAGATACTCATTCCTTGATTACACCTAGCTATAAGTTAAATACACGACACACACACACACAGACATCTATTCACAGTATTGTAGCCCAGCTTTGATCATGCATTCATATCTGGTTTTGCATCTCCGTTGTTTGGGTTTTTCCTTCCCACAGGGAGGCAGATCAGATGAGTTTATCGTGATACTAATGTTGCCTCCCCCCCACCCCTCTCTGTCTGCTCTTACCCCCCGACCCCCCTCCTCTGCAGGTCCCGGCCTGGCGTTCATCGCCTACCCCAAGGCTGTAACCATGATGCCTTTTCCTACACTCTGGGCAATCCTCTTCTTCATTATGCTGCTGCTGCTTGGCCTCGACAGTCAGGTTAGCAGGAACATGAACTTTCACACATTTAGGTGTCAGAGCTGCAGGAACTTAGACGCTAAGGAAGTGGTTGACACTCATGAACGGCTTTTATCAAGGTGCCCATGAGCAAAACACTATCAGCTGACTGTAGGAGACAAATTTTTTTTTAAATAAACCAGTCGCATTAACATATGAAACCTTCATGCATGAGTGAATTTAGAGATGCAGGTTTCCTTAACGTGACGGGAAATCACAGTAGCACTTTGAAAATGAATCAGGAAATGGCGTATAGTAGCTAACAAGAAAAGTCTTTTAACTTTGTATCACAAAATAAATAGACAAAAAAGTATTCATTATTTTTGTCTGATTTTTGCCTAATTTGTTTTTGGTAAATTTGCAGATAAAGGTCTTAAAAAGTCTTAAATTTAACTTCCTTATACGTGTAGACATCCTGAAACCAAAGAAATAAAAGCTAGTAGTTTGTAAGTGTGAAATGGCAGATGAAGTTGGCAGTGGATCTGAATCCGTCCTTTATATTTTGTGTGTTTTCAGTTGTCCAAATGTATGTGCTATTCATGTGAATACAAAATCTCAAGAATGCCTCAAACTTGGCACAAACATCCACTTGGACACAGATGAACTGATCCGAACTTTGTAGCCAAAGGTTACCTTGACCTCTCAAAACGTGTTTTTTGCCATAACTCGAGAATTCATACGCTAATTATGACAAAATTTCACCCAAATGTCTAACAGGATAAAATGATGAATGGAGGACATTTTATTTCCAAAAGGTCAACACCACTGTGACATCATAATGTTTTCTGGCCATAAACCTCTGGGGCTGAAAAATGAGGCCAAAAACTGCATTTTCTCAAATGGCCACTAGGGGCTGGCTCCAGAAGCGAGTCAATCCTGACGACCCCTGTGTTAAAGTGCCCAACTTTACAGCAGAAATTAACATGTTTACGAACTGGTACAACAAGAAGTTTCAGTCTCAATAGGTTATTTCAACATTCGTGACAACTGCACAGGGGGTGAATTTTTATATAATTCACCTGTTTACATTTTATTAAGGCTCAAAGTCACAAATATCTAAGGACAGGGCTGCTTGAGTGACAGGCTGTCTGCGAGATGTCACTAAAGTCTATAAGTCAGACCCACCCCTCACTCATCCACAACCTATTGTTTAAATATGGTCACTTCTGGCTTCATAAAGCCAAGATGGCGATGGCCAAAATGCCCAACTGGAGGCTTCAAAACAGCAGTCCACATAACAGAAAGGAAGACATTTTGTCAGATACTGAATTGGTGACATGAATTTTGGGTGTCCATCTTGAAACTGTGCTGATTTTAGAGATCATCTGTGCCGCCAGGTTGAAGATGTGTGTGAAGCATCCATGTTTTATGATATGTAGCATCTTTGCAATAACATCCATATTCGTAGGAGACATGGATGTTAACTGCAACGTGACCAGTTAGTGGAGAGATACACTGTATAATTTTCTAACACTCCTTTGTCTCTGTCCCACTGCAGTTTGTGGAGGTGGAAGGGCAGATCACATCACTGGTGGATCTGTATCCGTCCTTCCTACGGAAGGGTTACCGCAGAGAGATCTTCATCGCTATCATCTGCTGCATCAGCTACCTGCTTGGACTCACCATGGTTACCAAGGTAACAACACCATGAAAGGAAAAACAGACACCGAAAAAGCACCAGCACCAGTGATCGTGACCAAAACATGGGAACAGTGTAGAAAATAATCAGCTCAGATGGTTTCAGTGCTCTGAACCTCAAAACAACAGTACTAGCACGTCATAGTCGAGGAAAGTGCTGCATCTGGATAAACTAGTCTCTCATTATTACAGTATCCATTCAGTATAAACATCCACAAAGCATCTATTGATAATTGCATATATATTTATATATACACAATGGCTGCTGACCTCATTTCAGGCTCGAGCCCACAGCTCAATACACCAGGAACAACAGCATTCATACAGCTATTAGTGTCGGTCCCTGGGGAGATGACAGGAGGCTATTTATACTGTCAAGTCATGAGAACTTCCCTTCCCGCTGGTATTTATAGATACAGTAGACCTGACTTAGCTTTTCCAAATCTTTTCTTTCCTGCTCCTTCTCTCCCATTTCTGTTGTCCCGTGTTTCTCATCACGTCCCGTCATTCACCTCTGCTCTTTCTCTATAAATCTTCTGTCTCATTCTCTCTTATTTTCAGAGTTGTTTTTGTCTCTCTGCACCACCCATGTTCATCCTCTGTTTTTTGGCCTTATCTCTAAGGGTGCTTTCAGACCTAGAGTTGTCTTGCTTTGCTCTGAATCGGCGACTCATGTTGTCCCAAAGTTGTATAATTGCCTAGAGTTGGTTCGTGTTCTCACAGCAGCATTTACAAGCGGACCAGATCAAATGCCTTGTGTGAGAAAGCTGCTCTTGATTGGTCAGAATTTCCATGTGGGAAAAATCCAGGAAGTAAAGCAAACGTTGAAGAAGAGTACACTTGCAAGATAAATGTGACACTTTCTAATGTCACAATGGAGGGACAACTACGCAGGTTGATTTTAGCGCTGCTCATCATGGACTATATTGCTGTCATTGTTCATTTTAGTCAAACCATACAGTTTGAAAACGAGGCGCGGCTCCAACTAGAAAACAATGTTTTGATGCATTGGATGTGCTGAATGTGCATATTAAGGCAGTACAGGAGGAGGTGCACATTAATAATCCTCCAGGACTGTAACATGCTCATGTTTAACCCAAACAATGTGTCATGTGACTGCAGTTGCTTCACATCCAGGTCGGAACACCTTCTCACCACAAACCAACCGCACCAGAGTCGTTTGCAACTGAACCGAGACCACCTTCTCAAGAAGGTCTCAGTCCGGTTGTTGTGGTGCGCACCCGAGTGTGATTGCTGTGTTCACACCTGCCCAAATGAACCACACTGAGGGGGCAAACAAACTAGAGTCCGATTGAACCAAACCAAACAGGGCAAGTGTGAAAGCACCCTAACTCAAAAAGCCAACATTTCCTCCCTCTTGAATTATACGGACATTGTGATGTAACATCCTCCCAATACTCATCCTGTCCCAATAGACCCTTCTCTCGGTGGACATTTTGACTTGCCAAACACAAGTGAAGCTCTCAGAATGTCCCAGGGCTCTGGTATTGTACGCTGGCTCACTAAGGCTCAGCAGGACACTTTCTCACAATAGAACCAACTGCCTCGTCATTCCTTACGCATGAGCTTTTCATGACGAGTCATAGCGGAGCACGGTCAGCTGTGAGAAGGGTCTATTGAGCCTTCTCACAGGTTTAACCATGACCTTTAGTGAAAGCATGATCAGGTGAATAAGGGGAGTGTATTTCTACACCAGAATCCAGAGCCAAAAGGCCTAATGCATCAGTTATCTTCCAGTGGCGTCGTATTTGATTTGACCTGTTCATCGTCTGTAAGAGACGTCTACAAGACAGAGACTGCCAACATTGTGTCACATCTGTCACCTCTGTGATTGGGCAAGTTTGTGTTGACAAATGTTACCTTGAAATACAGCCAAACTCCATTACACCAAGACAAAGTGACTCAGAGTGACACAGTGTGATGTAGCGTCACTCCTCCAAGTTTGTTCAGAATTAGACACGTTTTCCTGGATTCATTGCACAGAGCAGGTTGTTTACATGCCAAAGTGTTTTACAGCACAACATAAATATCTTGACTCGAACTGCTTTGTTACACAAAGCGATTAGCATGACGAGCCTCTGTGTAAAATCGCTCATTTCCCCTGAGCGACAGACCTTTTTCAAGTGAAAAGAAAAGTTGTTGAAAGACTAGAACAAGTGAAAGTGCAGAAAGTGACAGTTTCAGCAAATATGACAAGTTATTTTTATAAAAGTTACCAGCTCCAGCTTTAATCTCACACTCCCCTCCTCTCCTTTCCATCAAGACGATCATACTTTCACCTTCTATCATCACTCTTTTCTCCATCCGTCCTCTTCCTCTCGTTCCTCTCACACAATATTCAACCTTCTCACTGTCATTCTATTTTCTGCCCCGCCTGCCTCCCTCGCTCTCTCTCTCTCTGCTGTTCCCATGACGACATCTTTTTATGGCTGCGGTGGCCTCGTTCAAGTTTAGGATTCCCATGATTGTTAAAACAGTTTTCACACTGGACACACACACATGTGCGCACACACAGGCCTGTACGCACACACTCGGACACAGTGGCAGTGTCACGTGTGGACGGTTGCTCACGTTTAGTTGTGTTAAGTCTTTAAATATCTCCAAACTTTGTGTTTTAATGATCATTTATTAAGAATTACTTGTTTAATTTACAAGCCCTTTAGTGAGTGAAGCTCAGTACACAGAGGGAGGCAAAACTAAAGCTGTATTCACTGAAAGACACGAGAATAGACCTTGCACAGGTTTTCTATTTAAAGTGAGATGAAAGTAAGAAAATATTGTCTGATATGCACCTGGAAAAACTCTGATTTTAAAACCTGTGTGTCTGTCTGTCTGCAGGGTGGCATGTATGTTTTCCAGCTGTTTGATTACTATGCAGCTAGCGGTGTGTGCCTTCTGTGGGTGGCATTCTTTGAATGTATAGCTGTTGCCTGGGTTTATGGTGAGTACCGTCCATAGATCTATAACAAAATACTGTGACCCTGTAGGATGCATACTTAATAAATGACTGGCTGACTTCAGCACACAGGAAATTTATGCCTCTAATGTATTGTCTCGTAATGTCTCTGTACAATGAACGTGATGTTCGATTGTCTTTGCACTCTCTCAGAGAGCATCCTCTTCGGGATAGATAACTATCACAGCACAGTCCATTTTTAAAAAGCAAATCCATCTTACCAGGCCACACAACAGTTACTGGGATGCAACTGCAAATACGCAAAGGTTTTTGTACATTTAGAATCATATACTTTTACCTGCAAAAGCAACACAGTCGCCAGAGAAATTGTTGGCATTGTATGTGCATTGTGTGGTTAGGTTTAGGCATAAAAAATACTTGATTATAGTTCGGAAAAGAACATGTTTTGGCTTAATATACCCAGTTATGGTGGCACAATCTCTGCTGGAAACATTGATTAAAAGTCGCTGCAAACGCTGCAGTGACTCACTAAACAACAACTGGTTTTGTTTTTGTTGGTGTGAAACAGCGGTCCGAAGCTTGGCAAGCGCCCTCCACCTCCCAGTAACAAAGTCAGCTTGTATACTACATCTCTTAGAAATGTTTAAATAGTTTGTAGAAACTTACAATGCCAACATTTTCTTTGACAAACTAGGCTGTGCAATTTTTTTGTTGTCTTTTGTTGACGCAGTTAAAGCCTGGGATCACTTTTGGAACCTTAAAGCAAAAGTACCTCTAAGACTTGACAAATCAGGTCATAGCTGAAAATCATCCATGCACGAAGCAGCCAAGATTGGAATATGATGAATGGTTACTCTCTGTGCCTTTGGTTGGTTGACTTTCCAAATTGCTCTTTATTTTCTGTCCATTTCTATATCTCTGGGTTTTTTTCTCCAGTTTTTTAAGGTTTTATCTCCCTCTTCGTTGTGTCATTTTTATGTAAAGCACCTTGAATTGCGTCTGTGTTCAAAATGTGTTGCACAAATAATCTTAGTTTGCTTATTAGTTGTTGTGAAATAAGAAGTCCTGGTGCATTCTGTTCCTGAGTAAGAGGTGACTTGCATAAAATAATATTTTTTATTTATTGTCTCACAGGTGTTGATAATTTCTACGATGCACTTGAGGACATGCTTGGCTACAGACCAAATCCCTGGATGAAATGGAGCTGGACTATTATCACTCCTGTACTGTGCATGGTAAGAACCTGCGGTAAACCATCATCGTCATTAGTGAGGTTCAGATTACAGATGATGAGCCGAGACAAGAGTTTGACTTCATCTTCCTCTTTTTAAGACAGCAATTTTTCCACTTCCTGAAATTTGTACTGGGCTGCATACAGCCCCTACAACATGCACTAAAATGTTTTTCTAGACAGAAATGATGGGTACGCTGAACAGCCTGTTGTGTTACACAGCCACACTGCCTTTCAGTACGCCTGGGTTCAGTACAGTTCAATTTAAAGGGGCTTTATTAGCAAGGAAAACACACGTTTACTTTGCCAAAGCAAGTGTGAAATCCACCAAACAAGAGAAGACATACCACAAAGCCTGCCCATTGTGTCACTGTGATGCTCATGTCTCTTAAAAAGACACACACATATATATATATATATACAGTACAGGCCAAAAGTTTGGACACACCTTCTCATTCAATGCGTTTTCTTTATTTTCATGACTATTTACATTGTAGATTCTCACTGAAGGCATCAAAACTATGAATGAACACATGTGGAGTTATGTACTTAACAAAAAAAGGTGAAATAACTGAAAACATGTTTTATATTCTAGTTTCTTCAAAATAGCCACCCTTTGCTCTGATTACTGCTTTGCACACTCTTGGCATTCTGTCGACGAGCTTCAAGAGGTAGTCACCTGAAATGGTTTTCCAACAGTCTTGAAGGAGTTCCCAGAGGTGTTTAGCACTTGTTGGCCCCTTTGCCTTCACTCTGCGGTCCAGCTCACCCCAAACCATCTCGATTGGGTTCAGGTCCGGTGACTGTGGAGGCCAGGTCATCTGCCGCAGCACTCCATCACTCTCCTTCTTGGTCAAATAGCCCTTACACAGCCTGGAGGTGTGTTTGGGGTCATTGTCCTGTTGAAAAATAAATGATCGTCCAACTAAACACAAACCGGATGGGATGGCATGTCGCTGCAGGATGCTGTGGTAGCCATGCTGGTTCAGTGTGCCTTCAATTTTGAATAAATCCCCAACAGTGTCACCAGCAAAACACCCCCACACCATCACACCTCCTCCTCCATGCTTCACAGTGGGAACCAGGCATGTGGAATCCATCCGTTCACCTTTTCTGCGTCTCACAAAGACACAGCGGTTGGAACCAAAGATCTCAAATTTGGACTCATCAGACCAAAGCACAGATTTCCACTGGTCTAATGTCCATTCCTTGTGTTTCTTGGCCCAAACAAATCTCTTCTGCTTGTTGCCTCTCCTTAGCAGTGGTTTCCTAGCAGCTATTTGACCATGAAGGCCTGATTGGCGCAGTCTCCTCTTAACAGTTGTTCTAGAGATGGGTCTGCTGCTAGAACTCTGTGTGGCATTCATCTGGTCTCTGATCTGAGCTGCTGTTAACTTGCGATTTCTGAGGCTGGTGACTCGGATGAACTTATCCTCAGAAGCAGAGGTGACTCTTGGTCTTCCTTTCCTGGGTCGGTCCTCATGTGTGCCAGTTTCGTTGTAGCGCTTGATGGTTTTTGCGACTCCACTTGGGGACACATTTAAAGTTGTGTAAAATAATGGATGTACCCACTCTGACGTGGCGCGATGTTTGTGGACCCCTGTTTTTAAGCCTCAAGTTTAGCATTTTGGTCATCGCCATCTTGGATTTTTTAGCCAGAAGTGACCATATTTGGACAAGACAGGTTAGCTAACGCTAATACTAGCTGCTAGCTTGGTTAGCATGGTGCATTTACAGCTATGGTTAACTGTGATAATGTTAATGCTAATTTTTGCTAGTGCAAAAACAGGCTTAAAATCATGAAGACAAAATGTACTTAATGGAAAACTGAACATCAGACTTCTTAGAGGGTCTTTTCAGTCCAACCAAACACTGAACAAGATTTTTTAGGTGACTAAAACGTGACAATTAGCTTTCATAAATTGAAAACGCACTGAAATAGTGACAACTACAGCTAGGCCTATACTCTGGGGTTATGCCATGGTTACTTTACCTAACCAACGTTGTTGTCTTGGCAGCAACTTATCAACATACGTCACCCGCGTGCCACTCAAAGCAGCCATTGTACGTAACTCTAAGCCTTAATAACATTAAACGGATCAGTCATATAGATGTTCAACTCTGTACAGATGTCAAATTAGCCACAGACCGAAACTGTTCTTGGCACCAAGCTATAAACATGTTTATTTTTTTCTGTAAAGTTGGGCATTTTAACCAAACAGCAACCTCATGCAGTTCCTCTAATGGCCACTTGAGGCTACTTGAGTCAATCCCCATAGACCCCCATGTTAAAGTTTCCAACTTTACAGCAGGAAATAACAATGTACGGTCTGGCATATAAAATGGTTTTGGTCTCTATAGCTAATTTCAGTGTTACGGGAGGATGAAGTTTTATATAACTCACCTATCTACATTTTAATTAAGCTTTACTAGACGCCACCACTATGTCTCTACGTCTGTTATTTTATACAGTCAATGATTTCAACATGAGAGGGTCTGCGGGGATTTACTTGCTTTTGGAGCCAGCCTCAAGTGGCCATTTGAGGAACTGCAGTTTTTCGCACTTTTGCGTTGGCTCCACTTTTCAGCCGCGTGGTTTATACACACCAAACAAAGCTTTTGTAAAGTATAATTGGCGTGCATTGAATTTAGGTTGAATCTGAATGACCAGATAAAAAAACGTAAAACTGTCCCTTTAATGGCTGACTGTCCCTTTTCGTCCTCTCCAGGGCTGCTTTATCTTCTCCTTGGTCAAATACAAGCCATTGACGTACAACAAGGTCTACGAGTATCCTGATTGGGCCGTCGGAATAGGTTGGACTCTGGCCTTGACCTCCATGATCTGCATCCCCATGGTGGTTGTCATCAAGATCATCCGATCTGATGGGCCGCTCATCGAGGTGGGTGGAGGAGCCATCTGGAGGCTACGCAGCTGTCAAATTGTTTAGTTTGTGTTTACGTTAACTGACAGGCTAAAAATTATTGATTCACCTCTTCAAATGCAGATTTTGTCGGTTTTAGTAAATTTTTATCTAATTTTTTTATCCCATCTCCCCTCTTCATTGTTGCTCGCACCATTTCTCTCTTCCACTTAACTTCTTTCCATCATTTCTTCTGTGGTATTCCACCTCTCCTTTAACCTGCCCTTCTCTCACACTTCTTCATCCCATCCTTCCTTCCTTCCTTCCTGCAGAGGATTAAAGCGGTGGCAGCCCCGGTTCGTGGCGGGGCCAGCTCCCGTCCCGCAGACCACCGTGGCCTCAAGGAGCTCACCTACCCTCTGGACCCCAATGGGAACAAGGGCCTGCTGATGAAGGCCCCCACCCACACCATCGTAGAGACCATGATGTAAAGGACTGAGGGGGAGGCTCTCCATGAGATCGCTCTCCTCTCCTCTCCTCTCCTCTCCTGTCCTCTAAGATGCTTCTAAAGCTAGCTAGTTTTCTGTCTATCTATCTGTCTGTCTGGTGGACTGATAAGGGTTTTAAGGAAAAAAAAAAAAAAATGAGTTCCCGTTTCAAATCTTGTTGGAATACTTTGGAAGTAGTTTGCTCTTGGTGGGTTTTCGTAAGAGGGTAGCAATCACATTTCAAATCTATTTCTGAATTACTCACAATTACTGGTGCTGGTCCTTTTTATTCCTATTTGTAATATCCATGTGACTACATGTCCCACTGTTGTCTTGTTTAAAGGCAGAGTGGCAGATTAGCGCCGGCGTCCCGTCACACGCTGGTGGATTTATGTTTGTTCCAGCTTTTGCAGAAAACCAGCCATTGTTCTAAAAAAAGGAAGAAAGTGGTTTTTGAGTCTTGGAATCAAACAGCGTTTTGTAGCCACAATGTGAAAAAAACGTTTCCTGCATTGATCACAGATCACCAAAAGCAGTTTTTAAGCTGTTCTTTGAATATTTAACAGCTCTTTTTTTCTGTGATTCAGTGGACAGGGTGACCTAATCGCAAGACATGTGCCATAGGGTTCGACTTTCGCTTATTCTGTTCAGCTGTGTTCAGAAGAGGCCCAGTTGAGATGAGGCAGAATATCGAGGCACTAGAGGTACATTATTAATTGAAAAAACACGTGTACCCATGTCGGAAACATTGTGATGTAATTTCAGCTGCACAAGGCGAGCTTTATCAAGAGAAATATGACCTAAACCAAAATCTTAAAATGTGACTGTCAAAAGCCCCGTTTCCACCAAACACTTTCGGTATGGTACCTTTGGAACCAGAAGTAACCCTTCAGACAGGGTACCTAGACTCTAGCGTTTCCACCACAATAAGGAACTCTTATGTCGGCGGGCTCACTGCTCCGTCCAGCACTCACTGTATTTTCTTCCTTTATCAGCCTGCACCTCGCTTATCGTCCACAGAACGAGGCTGCACACTGACATTTTCTTAACAAGAGTCTCTCTCCATGGGATATTTAAAAAAGCGGGGTTGTGTATTTAGTCCTTCTCAGGCAAGCTCAGGGGTTTAGTGTTGCTGTAGCCCTCAAGAACGACGCTCTTCCACTTTTTTTTTCTCCGAGTGAGGATTGGGATGTAAGCTGTTCCAGTCGAAATCAGTATATATTTAAATACTTGGAGTTCCACATTACTAAAAGTGTATGTCATGTAGTCATTGAAATTTAAGGTGTGCTGATGGATTGAGTGACATTAGAAGTTAACGTTCCACCTTAAAAGTTGCCGGCAGTCGGCCCAGTAAATGAAATTATTTTTCTGACCGTCCTCTACTGACCAATCAGACTGCAGTGTTCACGGCTCCACCTTTTAGTACCAGATCTGTGTGCTAGGTACCCCAACAGAGGGGGGACCAAAAATGGAGACGGTACAGAACGGTTCCGCTGGTACCATCCACAACTTTTTGCATTGGAAATGGAAAAAGAGCGCACAGAACTGAACTGTAACCGACTGCTCGGTGGAAACGGGGATAAAGGGAAAATCTCCCAGTTCCCACACATGTTGCATTCATATTCTCGCTTGGAGCTAATCAGCAGCCTGGTGCAGCTAACAAGAAAAAGAAATGTAGAATTGACACAGCCATGACAGCCGGTGGCCCTTTATCAAACCAGGATCCCGGTTCTGAAATGCACCTTAGCACAAATATCCCCATCCTCCATAGCCATAAACTATGGGTCAGAGAGAAAACTAGCACTGAGACGGTGTCGGGGAAACCCGTGCCTGCACAAAGACACAGGTATCTGAAAGGATTTGAAGTGTGGAGGTTGAACCCTTGAGTGTGTTGTCTGTGGCGTACTGTACAGTAGTAGCTAATCAGTCTATCTATATCTATCTCTCTATCTATCTTTCTCTGTCCTAGACCAGTTTACAGTACATTAGTGACTGCACTAGGCACTCTTGGCTTACAATTTTGGATTGGATTTATTTTATTTTCCACAGAGGAAGTTACATTATTATTAGTTTTTCCTCTGTCAATGTTTAGATTTTTTTTATTAAGACTATAATGTTATTGATATTCACTATTGATGATAATTGCTGTAGTTTTACATAGAAGAAGGAACACTTTGTTCATCGGGTGAAAATACTAAGCTATTATACAAATCATACATTTACAGTGGCAGCCATTGTAGTAATAGTCCTCATCCTTCATTTCGCCAGCGTTGGTCCTGCCAGCAGTTCTGTCTTTGCATCAAACAAACTGATTTTTCCCAGATATTTTCTCTTTGGGGTCGAGCATTCAGCGAGCAGTTCAACGTACAGTTAAAAAAAACATGGGAATTCTACAATGGCTCCATCTGTAAGATCGTAGGCGTTGGGGGTTTATAGCTTTTTCCTCTTCTGTAAATACCAGGGGACAGTATTTAATTTGGATAGATTCAGCCAGACAGGGCACAGCAGCCAGTGGTTAAACAACATGTCACTAACTCAATGACTCAAAGCAACTAACAAATCAGCCAGCGTCAGACTGTCGACTCGTCTGAGTGTCAAACTCTTTTCCAGACTCTGTGAAATGTGGCAGCTGGCTGCAGACAAATCAGAGCCAGTGAATGAAGTTTGGTCACCTTTTGTTTTTTTCCACAGTCACCATGAGAGCTGGGAAGCTTCATTTCAAACCAAAACGGCTCTAAAAAGCAATCAAAAGGTGCAAGTTTTATAATTTGTACACGTTGCAGATTCTATTTTCTGCAACTTAGAGGGTGTCATTACACGAATATGTTTTGTGGCACAGCAACAGTAAATAAAATATAAATAATTCTACGAAAACTTGAAATGTCAGGACTTTAAAGGAAAACTTCACCTGCAAAATGACCATATGTTAATTACTCACTGCATGTTAACTTGAACTTGTGAAGAATAGTTTGTTTTTCTTGCATGCCTCTGTGGCGAATGGAGAATCCAAAAAAGGCAAACATTATTCATGAATTGAAAAAACTCTCACACAACTCCTGCAGTGTCATCCCAGATTCAAGTTACATTATTGTCCCCAGGGAATTTTTTTCTTGGGTATAAAAGCTGCCACAAAAAAATTCATAATGCAGAAACCGACAAAGTACCGCAGGGTTTCCCACACATTCATTTATTTGGGTTCACCCGCCATGATCAAAACATCTGCCACCACAAATAGGTTTTTTCTTTTGGGGAAGAACGATCACCAGAGCACTGTGGGAATATACATTTTTATTTATATAGATTTATCTAGATTTTTCCCACGTGGAAATTCTGACCAGTCAAGAGCAGCTGTCTTGTTCAGCCTTTTGATCTGGTTTGCTTGTAAATGCTGCTGTGAGAATACGAACCACCTCTAGGCAATTATGCAACCTTGTAAGAAAATTAGTTGCTGATTCAGACCAAAGGAGACAACTCTAGGTCTGAAAGCAGCCTAAATGAAAAGGAAAAGTTCGCCTTTTTGGATTCTCCGTTCACTGTGGAGGCATGCAAGATAAACAAGTTTTTTCATGAATTCAGTGTGTGTATTTGATATACAAATAGTCATTTTGTGGGTGAAGTATTCCTTTAAAATGCTGCCTGGAATTTAACTTAATGCTAACTGAAAACCAAAAATGAATAGAGCAGTAAACTAATATTCTAATTATTGAAAGCTGTGAAATTGGACACTGTAAGTAAATCAGAAGTTGTATCCGACACCCCTAAAACCTGCACTTAACATATGCTTACGCGTTAGAGCCTCAACTTCAGTCTTTATAAGGCCATAATAATGTCGATGTGAGCCGTTAACAACTGAAAGCAGACTATCTGAGAAGTATGACATTCACAACATTCACTTTAACATGTCTGTGTAACAATGAGTTTCCCATGTGTAAGTGTCACCAGGGACCATCCACTCAGGACCTTCTCTGTAGTGCTTTTATCTACTGTATAGCTGCATTAACCCAGCGTCCAAAAAATTAACTGTGGGTGACTGAGAGCTAACATTCAATGGTAGCAATCGAAAATTGATGTTTTTGTCCAGCGTGAAAGGCCACTGGATCAGTTCTCTGCCACACAGGATGGAAAAATCAGAGTCAAAGAGAGTTTTTATTGCACCTTATTTGTATAATTTGGACTTCATATCAGACGATGAGGCCAAAAGAAAAACACTGCCATCTTTTTATTCAGGGTCCTAAAGTTAAAAAAAAAAAAAATCTACTAAAAATCTGAATACTGTCAAAACTCTTGAAGTGCTTCTGTTCACCAACAAGCAAATTAAAACAGATCAAAATGTTTTTACACAGCACACATGTTGCAGGAATTTGACCAACAGCGTCACGTCCGATGTGATCGTGAGACCAGGGCCTCATTTCGTGTGTCATCGAAGCTTATTTTTATTTAATTTCTTTAAATAGAATAAAGTAGTTCATATCATTAAAAGGGATTTGTGAAACCAAATCCGCAGCAGACATCTATTTTCATACAGTAACAAACTTTTCCTATATAAGTCGTCTTTGTACAGCTAAGCTCCCATTCCAGACCTCCCATTTTAATACTGATACAAAGCTTCGTTTTAATCTTAAACTTTTGTACAGATCTGGTTCTCGATTCCTGGGAAAGATCTTTGCACCAAGGAGAAGAAAAATGATGCTGAAAGGAAAGATTTGTCAGCGAGAACAACAGCATCGGAAACGTTAAATCGAAGTCTAACAAAACTGCACAGAGAATTTGGGCCTTTAATTTCATCTGCTGCAAAGATTAAAAACACAAAAATAGATTTAGGCTGGGCATATTTGAACTTCAATGCTCTCCAAACTGAGTAAAATCCCTCCCTGGTGCAAAGATCCTTCTCTCAGTGGGAAAACATGAACCACAATTAATAACTAATGCAGTCATTTATTGGTTTCTTATGCCTCTCTGTGTATATTTACAGTATGTACCAGTCCCTCTGCCTTCTTACACTCCCCTTCAGTTAGCCTACGTAAACCCTCTGTTAACCTAAGCTAACCGATTTTTCTTTTTCCTCAGAGATAATGAATTTGCAAGAGAATCGAAGCATTAGCGATGCACAAGTTTTTACCGCCGAATGTTGAAATGTGAAAGTCACCTGCGGGTGAATGTAAAAGTTTCTGAAGATTTATTTTTTAGGGTGAAAAAAAAGAACTTGTTTCTTTTTTTTATTTTTACTGATCTTGTTTTATTGAATTTAGACGTTTTAT